AAAGGATTATATAAGGGTTTAGGGATTATGTAAACAAAGGATTATATAAGGGTTTAGGGATTATATAAAGGATTATTTAAGGGTTTAGGGTTCAGGGTTTAGGGATTATGTAAACAAAAGGATTATATAAGGGTTAAGGGTTGAGGGTTTAGGGGTATAAGGGGGCGCTGCGAAGAATTACGGTGTTTTCGAGTGACGGGTTTTCAGTTTGAATTTAAAGTGTCGGGCTTACAGCTTACATGGCCGTCGATGCATCGCTTGATGTCCAGAAATCGTGGTTTCGGGGTTATCTGATTTGATGAGCATGCGCATGGCCATGATTATCTTTGTTTCGATTGCCTGTATTGTTCTTATCATCATATCATTGCTTTCTTCTTTCCGGCTTGTCGTTGGACCTGCAGTGACCCTGGTTAGGTGCTGTGGGCCGAGAGCCAGAGCACGGGTGCTAGCGGCCTCTTTTTCTGAAAGTACCCCTTGACTTTGGGGTTGATGTGCAAGGCGTTTGTAGGTTGAACTGTGGATGGCCAGGGTTGGACAGCAAAACATTCAGGCCGAGAACTACCAGAATACAGTAAGTGACCCTCAACCCCCTCGCAAGCCCTAAAGCAAGACATACCTAGAAACCCTAAACCCTAACAGGTCATGTGCTCTGATGCCACCCACCAACAGTTGCGGGGCATGGTCTGTCGGAAGATCGGAGACCTCCAGGCCAAGTCACCATAGCTTTATCGCGTCACAGAGGGAGTTTGTGGTTTTCATCCCCGCATGTAGCCTTCGGAAGTTTAGGGGACAACATTTTGGTGATTCTCTCTCTCTCTCTCTCGGTGTTTTTTTGCATGTCGAAAGTTTTGCTTCGGGAATAGTTTCAATCTTGGTTTACGCTTGGATGAATCAAGTCGGCCCTTCTGGTTAACATGGGCCACCCAATTACACAGTTTTGTTTGGGGTTATCTGAAGTTTTGATTGGGGTTCCATGTTCCCAGGTTGTGAAAGTCGACAGACTTCCCTCCGGAATAAGGTTAAACCTTGCGCCAGTCCTGCCGACCCTGCTGGTTCTCACGAGACATCCGAAGACACGGTGTTGTTGTATAGGGTTCTGTGCTTTTAGGCTCCACGAAGCAAGCGCAAGCTGCTTCAAAGCCTCTCGTCTATCCTGCCAGAATCCACAAGTCAGATTTCTTTGGCTCAGAACACTGCCCTAAACCCTAGCCCTCGGCCCTGCATGTTTTCCCGTGCAGTTCCAGGTAGAAAGACATCAAGCATTGCTCATGTCCTGTGTCATTTCGGAAAATTCAGGTCATGAAATCATCAACTTGCCCTGCTGCAGTTGCTACGTAGACCAGGGCAAGGTTTGCGCTGTATTAGGTGGCAATTTGGGATAGCCTTCAATTGTTTTCAAGATCCTGTACGTAGATGTATCGAACCACAAGTAGTTACTACGGGCACCCTCAAGCGCAGCCCGGTGTTTCAACAGAGCCACACCGTTTTGCGAGACCGTTTTTTAGATTCCGTTCCGGCTCCTACATTGTCCTACAGCCTCGAGATCCCAAAAAACACAGCTCAGCCTGCTCCAAACCGGCTCATGTTGCGAAGCTTAATCTTGGGTTGCCTTCACAGAAACACCTACGTGAATATTGCATATCCCGCATCAGCACAGTAAGCTAGCTTAGACTAGTCTGAACTTTGAGTGCTCGTTTGCGATGGAGATACCTTATTGCAACTCGCACCTGTCGTCCGAAATACCTACATCGGGTTCCTTAGTATGAGTTCTTCTCGCATGACCCAAGAAGGCAGGTCAGCCACAGGTGTATTCAACAACCCGAAACCCCCAAACCTGAACAAGAACTTAGACCCTACACCACTAACATCCACTAACCCTATGATGCAACGCCCAGGAACCGTATTCTCTTATCCTCCCGGATATAACATATAGTATACCATCAACCCTAAACCCCAAACCCCAAACCCTAAACCCTTAAAACCCTTAAAACCCTAACCCCTAAACCCTAAACCCCAAGCAGGTCAAAGGTCGCCAAGAGCCGACGGTTGTCTACGAAGTTATGGGCTCCTCTGACTGCTGCTTAAAGGATTTAGGGAGCTAAAGGGTTTAGGGCTTTAAAGGGTTTAGTGCTTAAGGTGTTTCAGGTTTAGGCTTCAGGGCTTATGTGGGGCTATAGGTGCCTGGTATTTCTGGTTTAAGATTCAAGATTATGGGCTCTTAGGAGGGCTTCTGTCGAGGCTTTGGGGTTGTGGGCTCCTAGGACTTTTCAGTGTCAGTCATTCGGCGTGGGCAATGATGTTGTTAATTTGTTTTGTTTCTGACGGTGGTGGCATAGCATTAGAGTTCGGGTTGAGGGACTGTCGAGGGTTGATGGCCACAGAGGGTTGCAAAGATTGATGCTGTTTCTTTCGGATGTGGGGCGTGTCTCGTCTAGTCAGTGAATGCCCGCTTGAGCTTCAACGTCTTGGGGTGCGGGGGTTAGTGTGAATCCAACCCTAAGCCCCAAGCCCTAAGTATTAGCCGAGGAGTGAGAGCGTAAACCCTAAACCCCAAACCCCAAACCCGAAACCCCAAACTCTATCACCCTGTAATGCAGGCACGTCCTTGCTAAGTAGGAGGCAAAAAACCCTACTCGAGAGTCTCTGTGCTTTTCCTCCCAGGTTGCGACGGTAGCATGCCGGCGCCTACCCGATCTGAAGTCCAGCAGGCCAAGGGGCTGAGCTAGCAGCTACCAGATGCTAGATACCATGTACAAAGTAACAGAATAGGTATGTGATACTATGTACTAGAAAGTATATACGATGTGCAACATACTGTGGGTCGAAGTTTTGCTTCAGGATCTGATCCCCCAAGACTGCCAAAACAGAAGTATGCTTACTTGTTTGTCGGCGCTCGTGTCTCTAGACTGTTGGTGATTTTCGCAGGCACCCATCAACATCGAGTATAGCTTGGACTGGCACATGGACATCACGACCTACATGGAGGGGCGCAGTGCCGACGACTATGTCGTCTACGACCGATTCGATCGGCTCGTCTATGTGAACCCGACTCTTGCTCCTCATCCGGACTGTTTTCCCCTGAGGATCCAGTTGAAGGACCTCCGCCGGTTTAGCGCGTTGTCTATCTGACTCTCTGTCTATCGGCCGAACTATGTATCTGTCTATTTGTCTATCTGTCTGTCTGTCAATCTATCTACCTATCTATTTATCTATCTATCTATCTATCTATCTTGTCCTTTGTTTGCCTGCCAGTCTGTCAGCCAGCCTGTCAGCCTGTCAGTCTGTCTGTCTGTCTGTCTGTCTGTCTGTCTTGTCTGTCTGTCTGTCTGTCTGTCTGTCTGTCTGTCTGTCTGTCTGTCTGTCTCTCGGCCTCTCCGTCTGTACATACTTAGCTGCAGTGAATGAAAAGTGCACTTATGTTTATATTTTACATGTGCACTTGCAGACAGGTAGATAGATAGATAGATTGATTGATTGATTGATTCATAGATGGAGAGAGAGAGAGAGAGAGACACACACACACAATGACACACACAGACAGACACAGACACGCACAGAGACACACACACACACACAACA